GATGAACAGTTGACATACAGTGTTAAATTAGTTTCAGGTGTACAACTTAATGATTTGACAATTCGATATGTTACCACAATTTGATACACTACTCAGTGGTCACCAAGATAAGCCTAGTTATCTGCCTGGGACCATACAAACTTGTTACAATATTAGCAGCCTAATATGTTTTGATGACTCTAAGGAACTGTGTACATAGTACAATTTAGGTTGTTAGGATTATATCAGTTGTTGCCATGGATTGGATTTTTATGAGTAAGTATACCACACCATAAAACAAAATTCAAAATATCATTCATATTATATGGTAGAGATGTTGTATTGCTGAAATGAAGTACTTAATGTTGAATTGAATGGTGGAAAAATTTAGCCTTGGATTCAATAATATATTTCATTTTTTACATTTACCTTTAGTAATACTCATCCAGAGAATATCATACAAGGTAGTATTTATAGTGTCAAGACATTGTTAAGCAGCTTATGATAGTAGGATCTTACATTTAACTAAGACTAGAAGTCCTTGAATGACAATTTTAATGAGGTTTTGTTTGATAACTGTAGAGTTAGAGTTGCCTTGTTCAAATAAAGATAAGATTTGCCCTGCAAACGAGAAGATAACACACAGAATGGGAAAAAGGTTGTGCAAATCCTTTATCTGATAAGGAGCTTATATCTAGAATATATAAAGAACTCTTATACACTCAACAATAAAAAGACCGATCAATTTTAGAAATGAGCCAAAAATCTGAATAAGTATTTCTCCTAAAAAGATGAGAATAAACTGAGGGCTGATGGGGGTGGGGAAAAGGAAAGGCGGGTGATGGGTATGGGGGAGGGCACTTGCTGGGATGAGCACTGGGTGTTATATGGAAACCAACTTGACAATAAACTAAGAAAAAAATAAGCAAAAAAATAAAAAATAAAATATTTCTAACATCAAAAAAAAAGAAAGATGTACAAATAGCCTATAAGCACATGAAGAGATGCTCAGAATCATTAGCTATCAGGCAATGCAGCTCAAAACGCAATGGGTTACTATTCACACCCACTAAGAGGGCTATAATAATGTGTTGGTGAGGATGTAGAGAAATCCACTGCTGGTGGGATTGTGAAATGGTGTAGACACTTTGGAAAACAGCCTGGTAATTCCTCACAAGGTTAAACATAGAGTTGCCATATGACCTAGCAATTCCACTTCTTGGTGTATATTCAAAAGAGTGAGAACATATGTCCACACAAAAACTTGCACATGGATGTTCATGGCAGCATTATTCATAACAGCCAAATTGTAGAAATAACCCAATGTTCCTTAACTGATACTTGGATAAATAAAATGTGTATCTATACAAAAGAATGTTACTTGACAATAAAAAGAAATGAAATACTGATACATGCTACAAGAGGGAGGAACCTTGGAAGCATTATGCTTAGTGGTAGCAGCCAAGCACAAAAGATCACATCTATAATTCCATTTATTTATTTTTTTTAATATTTTTTATTTATTTCTAGGAGAGAGAGAGAGACAGCATGAGCAGGGGAGGGTCAGAGAGAGAGGGAGTCACAGACTGAAACAGGCTCCAGGCTCTGAGCTGGCAGTCAGCACAGAGCCCGACGCGGGGCCCGAACCCACGAACCGCGAGATCATGACCTAAACGAAAGTCGGACGCAAAACCGACTAAGCCACCCAGGCGCCCCTATAATTCCATTTATATGAAATGTCCAGAATAGGCAAATCCACACAGACAGAAATAGATTAGTGGTTGCCTAGGCCTGGTCAGGGGAAGGTTTGTAAGAAAATGAGGAGTGATTGCTAATGGGTATAGGGTTTCTTTTTTGGGATGATGAAGTTGTTATAAAATTGATTGTGTGGGGCGCTTGGGTGGCTCAGTTGGTTAAGCGTCTGACTTCGACTCAGGTTATGATCTTGTGGTTTGTGAGTTTGAGCCCTTTGTGGGGGGCTCTGTGCTGACAGCTCCAAGCCTGGAGCTTGCTTGGGATTCTATGTCTCCCTCTCTCTCTGCCCCTCCCCTGCTCATGCTTGCTCTCTCTCTTTCTCTCAAAAATACATAAATATTAAAAAATTTAAAAAATTGATTGTGGTTGTGGTTGTACAACTCTGTGAATATAATAAAAACAATTGAACTGAACTCTTTAAATGAGTAAATTGTATGGTATATGAATTATATCTCAGTGAAGCTGTTACTTAAAGACTTATATTGCAGTTTTTGAAACCTGTTAAATGGATGATGGGAATTGAAGACAGAAACCAATTTAATTGCATATTTGCGTTCACATTTTCAGCTAATAAACATAGCGAGTTGCTGTGTTAAAGATGAGATTCACACAATATACTTGATATGATACTGAGTGCTGCAGCACAGATTCTTTTGAGGTCAGCCTGCTTTTTCTGAGCTCCTAGTCTCTCTTTAGTTCATACAGTGTACAGACAAACCACAAACTTGGGCAGAACTCAATTATAATATACATACCCATTTCTCATACATACCCAGAAAATGCTTATGTTAATTTTTTTTAAAGATTATCACTGAAACAAGGAACACCTGGGTGGCTCAGTCAGTTGTGCATCTGACTCTTGGTTTTGGCTCAGGTCATGATCTTACAGTTCTTGAGATAGAGCCTGCCGTCAAGCCTCTTGGGCTCTGAGCTGACAGCACGGAGCCTGCTTGGGATTCTCTCTCCTTCTCTGCCCCTCCCCCACTCACATGCACACGCTCTCTCTTTCAAAATAAATAAAAAAAGATTATCACTGAAATAAAAAGATATCATAGATAGCCATAGACCCTTGAGAAATGGTGATCTAGAGGTGGCTTTTAAACTAGAAGAGAGAAGGGGCTTCCTTCTTTACATTGTTATTACAGCTTTGCAGAACTAAGATCTAGTAAATGATTTTTCTCTTGTTCAGTGCACATATTCATAAACTTCATTTTTTTCATTTTTCATTAGGTAAGGGTAATAGAAATGCAGCCAGCACCATTCTATTCTAAGAACCCTAACAAATATAAAGGAGAGTAAATAGTTGTCTAGTTTCTCAGAGATTTTATAATCCTGCAAACTCAAAGTTGGAGGATTCTTAAGGATAACCTAAACAAACATTTGGTAATTTCTTGGCTTCTTGAGATGAGCTGGAATTGGGGAAAAGAAATTCTTAAATCCTGGTGTTTCAAGATCAGATGTAGACAGATATAATCACTGGTCATGCCAGCCTGCTCTGTAGGTGTGAGTTCTGGTTCTGCAACTTAATAAGTTCTGGTTCTTAAACTTAACTTGAGTAAGTGATGTACTGAGCCTCAGTTCCTTCTGTGAACAAGAGGGATGGATAAACCACATTGAACTATTATGTATAGTGATTGCATAAGAAAAAACATGTGAAAGGAAAACTCAGGGATTTATTTTACTTGATTTTATGTGGGAAACTTAAAGGACATTTTCACTTACATCTTGTGAATTGTTTTTTTACGATGAAAATGAAGGTTTCTGGAAGCTAGCAAGGGGGAGAAGAAGGAACCAAAAGGACAATAAACATTTATTCAGGTACTGCTAAATGCCCTTTTTGTAGAGTAAGTCTGCTTTATTCTAACTTTCCAGTCAACCTTGGTATTAATTGAAAATTCCCATCCTGGGTACATTTGCACTGTATGGTTTGTTTATAGCAGTGCTCCCAATTTTAGCAACAATTGTACAAAATAAAGTGAACTCATTTGTCAGAGTTCTGAAAAAAAATTAAGCTATAAGAAAGTAAGAATTTTAATAATAGCAGAAAACAGCTGCATCAGGGTCCCAAGGGACTTTTGGGAAACACTGTTCAAATTTTCACTGTGTAAACTACTTTTAGAAAGATGAGGAAATTGAGAAAAGAAAAGTAAGTCACTCCAGCCTGTACCACCTAACATAGCTACTATTATAGTTGTGTAAATTTCCTTTTACTTTCCTCTTAACTAGCTTTAATAATAGCAAGCATATACTTCTGCATTTTGTTTTTGTAATTTAACATGCCATTAGCACTTTTTGTTGTTGCATTGTTTTCATAACCATATTTTTAAGTGAAAGTGCCATAACCTCATTAACTATTCCCTGAGTGTTGGGTATGTATGTCTATTTATACCTTGCTTGCAGTTGTTTATTATTACAGATACTAACAAGAAATTCTTTGGGCTTATACCTTTTTCCATTAAAAAATTTTTTTAATATGCTTTATTGTCAAGTTGGTTTCCATATAACACCCAGTGCTCATCCCAGTAAGTGCCCTCCTCCATGCCCATCACCCATTTTCCCTTCTCCCCCACCCCCCATCAACCATCAGTTTGTTCTCAGTATTTAAGAGTCTTTTGTGGTTTGTCTCCCTCCCTCTCCTTAACAGTTTTTTCCCCTTCCCTTCCCTTATGGTCTTCTGTTAAGTTTCTCCTGTTCCGCATATGAGTGAAAACATATGATATCTGTCTTTCTCTGCCTGACTTACTTCACTTAGCATAATACCCTCGAGTTCCCATCAACGTTGCTACAAATGGCCAGATTTCATTCTTTCTCATTGCCATGTAGTATTCCATTGTATATATAAACCACATCTTCTTGCTCCATTTGTCAGTTGATCGATATTTAGACTCTTTCCATGATTTGGCTATTGCTGAAAGTGCTGCTATGAACATTAGGGTACAAGTGCCCCTATGCACTTGTATCAGCACTCCTGTATTTCTCTGGTAAATTCCTAGTAGTGCCATTGCTGGGTCATAGGGGAGCACTATTGTAAACCTTTTTCCATTTTTAAGAACTTTTCTAAAATAGATTAGTAGGAATTCTCCAAATACAAGTTTCAATGGATTTTGACATGTATTGGGCTTGTTCTATTTTAAAACAAGTGTTTTGAGCTGAATTCTTCATTCGCTTGCTAGTTGTGATTTTTGGATATGTGGAGAAGTGCCTTTGTTTATTTAGCTACATTTTTCCACTACTCTAATTCTTTCTCTCTCTTATTTTTTTTTTAGGCTCAGCACAGCATCTTACAGGGAAAGCATAGCATTTCTAAAGGAATATGAGCATAAGAAGAACGTGTCATTGACTCTGAATCAAATTTTTAACCTGTCCCCTGAGCAGCTATAGGATTTGGAAGCTGAATCAATGTTATCAGATGAGTTAGAATCCAAACCAGAGGTGAGCCAAGGCAGCACTTTTTACTTATTTATTTTTATTTTTTTGTGGGCTATCTTCCAAAGTTTGTCCTTAGTTCAGGAGTCAGCAAACTTTCTGTAATGAGCCAGATAGTAAATAATTTAGGTTTTTGTGGGCCATATGGTTTTGATTGTAACTACTAGTTTATTATTTTTTCTATCACTAAGTACTTTCTCAAAAGTTTAAAAACTTTGTGTTTACCTATCACTTTTTAGATTTATTTAAGTGTAAGTTAGTATAAATCTAGGTAATTACATAATGACAGAATTTTTATGTATGGTATATATGTGTATGTGTGTATGTATATGTAAATTTTTACTACCACAACCATTTTTAAATTAATTTTATATATGTCTGAAAGTGTTTTCTTCCTAAATGTGATTAGATTATTTAAACATTTTTTATTTTTATTCATTTTTCTCACTTAAATTTTAGTACATCTGTGTTGCATAGTGGAAAGAAAGGTCAATGAATTTGGAATCAGGGTACATGAGTTTGAAGACTCTTACTTCTCCTAAGTAGTCATGTGACCTTACACAAGTCATTTGATGTCTTCAACTGATCCCCTGTCTTTAAACTACCATGTTCAATCTTATTGAATTATACTGAGGATTAAATGAGCCACTACACAAAAAAAGTGCTTTGTAAAATGTAATCAGTACAATGCAGTTGACTTTTTAATAGCCTTCATTTAAAAATATAATTGTTTTTATATTTTCTCTGATGGAAGGTGATAGAGGTTAATTATATAATTCAGCTTTTCTTTAGAACAGTGCACTTGATAACAATAACTTTAAGTGTTATTTTGTAGTTAATCTAGTTTTTCTATGAATGTGGTTGAAACTAGCAAGCAATGAAGACTTAATTACATTATCAACGTTTGGTAAATTCAATGGTTTAGATTCATTCCTAACAACTTGTATGTTTCAATATTGTCTCCCCCACACCCTCAGCTCCTGGTACAGTTTGTTCAGAATACATCCATCCCATTGGGACAGGGGCTAGTGGAATCGGAAGCTAAAGACATTACTTGCTTGTCCCTCCTTCCGGTGACTGAGGCCTCAGAATGCAGTCGGCTAATGTTACCAGGTAAAAATTAAGATCATAAGAAATAAGATAAGCAAGTCTTAAGGGCTTAGTCTGCTCTGTGATACTGATGAGATGGGATATCTGGTAGCAACTGTAAAAATTAGGAATCATGGAGAATAAGCAACCAGGGAAGTCACAAGTGCATTTGTAGTTTGAGCCATAGTAATGGATAGGATCATTCATAGAATGTGAGAGTGAGGAGAAAAGACCAAGGTGGAACTCCCTATTCAAGGTACAGGGTAAAACAGGAGAGTCAGTGTGTCAGATGCTTCTAAGAGGCCCAGGAGATAGGGACTGTTCCAATGAGATAGGGCCAATGAGGCCATTGTTGACCTTGGCAGGACCTGTTCCCTGGAAAGGGAGTGGAAAGCCAGGCTGCAGTGGGTCAAGGTATCCGTGCAAGCTAAGTGTAGTTGAGGAAGTAAATACACTTTCTAAAGGCTCTCTTGCTAGGGGAGGAAAAAGAGGACATAAGGTAGATGGCAGAATTCTTTTTTAAGGTCTAAAATATTTGAGGATGGTTTTATGCTAAGAGGAAAGGGCCAATTAGAGAAGCTGCAGACAGAAAGAATGGATAATTAGTGGGGAGTCTCCAGGAGAGGTAGGAGGAGGTAGAATGCTGATCGTGGGTAGTGAGATTAATTTTGGATGGGGAGAAGGAGATCCTATCACTTGACTGTTAGAAAGGTGAGCATTGTTTTTGGGTGTAATGAATTTTTTATTTTCTGGAAATTGGAATATTTAAAATTTGGAATACTATAAAACCTTGGTTTGTGAGCATAATTTGTTCTGGAAACATGTTTGTAATCCAAAGCACTTATATATCAAAGTGGATTACCCCATGAGAAATAATGGAGACTCAGATGATTCATTCCACAACCCAAAATATTCATATAAAAATGATTACAATACTGTAGTATAATACAAAATAATAAAATACAAAATGTAAAGAAAAATAAACAAAGTAACCTGCACTCACCTTTGAAAACCTTCATGGTTGGTGTGAGTGAGAGAGACCAGAGAGAGAAGGGTTATTGTGTAGGATGACTTTTCACTGTCACTTATGGAATCACTACTATCTACTGGTTCAATGAAATCTTTTTTTTTCCTGCAATTTTAACAAAGAATCTATCCAATGATCTAGAATGAAACAAAGTATTCCGAAGCTTATTGTGTATGGAAAAGCAAAGGACTGACTGTCCATGGGTGCTTTGAGGTGACAAAAAAGACACTAGTGCCAGCTGTGGGCACCTTCCAGTGTTCTGAAAAGTCACTGATTTCTGACAAACACTGTGGCCTGAGACCGAGCATCTGAGCATGGGAGGCGATCACCCACAATCCCACAGCAAGCAAGTGAATGAGAGAGAGAGAGAGGGAGAGAGAAGAACCATTGGCTTAGTTATGATCATGTAATGTTCGGTGTCACATGCTACTCGTATTGCAAACATTGTTCGTTTGTCAAGTTAAAATTTAGTAGAAATGTTTGCTTGTCTTGCAGAACACTCACAGAACAAGTTACTCATAATGTATTGATATTAAATCAGGGCAGGGGCACCTATTGGTGATTGGTGATAGCTTATATGTTACAAAGTCTTCTGGTTACTTCTGGTGTCCTGTTTTGATTTTTTGAAGTGACTTTAAAATATTTTTCAATGTTTACAGATTCAAGAAGGGCAGATATATTCAACTAACCAATGTTGACTTAAGGTTTCGGTATCTAGCCCCCTAGCTTTCCCATATCTTCTATATTCAGCTCCTGTTTTTTGACTGGTATGTTTGAGTCCAAATTCTTCTGGATTTTCAAACTGTATAAATTTCCATGTGCTAATAAGTTTTGATTTTTATTAAGCATAAAAAATTTTTTTCTCTCCCGATTTTAATTTGTTGAATATTTTAGCAATAAATGAAGTGAAATAATGAAGGAACAAAAGCATCAATATTCTTTTCTACGTTAACTTTTAGTTTTAATTTTGATGAAAAGTATTTTACTTATTTTTTATTTTTTTAATAAGTTTTTATTTATTGGGGCTCCTAGGTGGCTGAATTGGTTAAGCACCAACTCCTGATTTTGGCTCAGGTCATGATTTCACGGTTTGTGGGTTCGAGCCCTGTGTTGGGCTCTATACTGGCAGTGTGGAGTCTGCTTGGGATTCTCTCTCTCTCCCTATCTCTGCTCCTCCCCTGGTCATGCTCTCTCTCTCTTTCAAAAGAAATAAAAACTTAAAAATTTTTTTATATTCATTTAAGTAATCTCTACACCCAATGTGGGGTTCAGACTCATGACCCTGGGATCAAGAGTCACTTGCTCTTTGGACTCAGCCAGCCAGGCACTCTGATTAAAAATAGTTTAGATAACCAGTTATCAGTAATAATAAATGAAAACCCATGTACTTCCCAGTTCATAAAACAATATTACAAACACAAACGTATCTGCATGTACCTCCTTGACCTTATTCCTCTCCTTCTTAAGTATATGTGTATCATTCCATGAATGATATATATGTTTTCTTTTTAGTTGGGGAATGTGATAGATACAGAAAAATCTAAAATCATATGCTTATGCATTTTTTTGTTTTTGTTTTTAATTTTTTTTAATGTTTTATTGATTTCTGAGAGAGAGAGACAGCATGAACAGGGGAGGGTCAGAGAAAGAGGGAGACACAGAATCCGAAACAGGCTCCAGGCTCTGAGCTAGCTGTCAGCATAGAGCCCAGTGCGGGGCTCAAATCCACAAACCGTGAGATCATGACCTGAGCCAAAGTCGGACACTTAACCAACTGAGCCATCCAGGTGCCATGCTAGTGCATTTTGAGGAATTGTTATAAAGAAGATACCTACCACCTAATCAAGAAGTAGGACCTTGCCAGCTCCCATGCCCTCCCTGGGTTCCTTCCTGTTTTTCAATAGGTCACCACTATCCTCAATTTTTTAACCGTTATTTGTTTTCTAAGTTCAACTACCCAGGTCTAAGCAATGCAGTTTAATCTCAGGTGTTTTTAGGCTTTAAATGAATGAAACTGTTTGAATGTTCGTTTTTGTGCCTTTCTTCTGTTACTGTATAGTTGTGAGATTAATCTTTGGGTGTATAACTGTGGTTGGTTTGGTTTCATTGCTGTATAGTGTTCTGTTATGTGAGTGTAACCACAACTTTATCCATAACACTGTTGATGAATATTTAGTTATTTTCCAGTGTTGTACTATGACAAACAATGCTGCTCTGAACTTTATTAGATTTTTGTGTGTGTATGATAACCTATACATAACCTAAGGTTTACCGTTTTAACCAGTTACCCATTTTAACCATTTAAATTTACCATTTAGCCAGTTCTGTAGCATTAAGTACATTCATGTTGTGCTATTTCATTAGGCTTTGAAATGGCAATACTGTCTCTAGGCTTCCACTTTCATTCCTGTAATCTTATTTGTTATCTCCTTTTTAAAAAAAGGGAAGAAAATTACCTGCCTTTTATAAAGATGAATGAAACTCCTGAAGACATTGGATGCTTTGGCACTGTAGTGCAGTTGCTCATTTTATTGCAACCAAAACCTTTGTAAATTTATCCCTGCCCTTAGAATAAAGTTGTAGAGAACAAGTCTTCTGTATTATGTCTTTACATTTCAGTGTAAACCCAGAAGTATAATAAAACATATTGGTGATTCTATAAAATTGTAATTATTTCTCAGGCTGTGATTTTTCCCTCTAATGACTCAACAGAGCTGTCACATGCTATAAAAATTAAAGGGAGAGACTTCTTCCCAAGAAAAATAAAACTTTAGATCCATTCTTGAGTTAGTATTCATTGTATAACTATATTTTTCAAGGGAAAAGTACTGACTTCTGGCCTCAAAGACAAATGTCTGTAAATGTCCAAATGTGGATGGTTGGTTACTGCCAAGTGTCAGATGAGTCTGTCCTTCACATTTTGGCTGACTCCCTTTCAAACTTAAAGTTATCTCTTTGTTCTTTCCTGAGCCGATTTTGTATTTGTAAAATAATGCTGCTGCATAAGGGATGTCATAAGGGTATTAGGTGCTGTGTTTCAGCAGTGAGCTCCTTGGAGATAGGTGCTACATAAAGCCATGGTATTTTCCCTTTGCTAGATGATACGCCAAGTCATACAAACTCCTCCAAGGAGGTCCCTTCCTCGGCTGTGTTGAGAAGCCTTCAGGTGAATGTGGGCCCAGACGGAGAAGAGACAAGGGCTCAGACTGTACAGAAGTCCCCGGAGTTTTTGTCCACTCCTGAGTCTCCTAGCTTGTTGCAAGATCTACAGCCAAGTGATAGCACTTCTTTTATTCTTCTTAACCTAACAAGAGCAGGTATTCTTTCTCCTTTTCTGAACTGTGCTAATGCTTAAGAAAAAAACTAGGGGTGGGGCATATTTAATTCAGTTGTACTTATAATGGAAAGAAGTCTTATTTTTATTATTTTAGAGAATTGGTATAGTCTGGTGATCAGTTGAATGTGTAGAGGGAGAAGGCAGATCCTAGAATGACTCAGAAGTTTCTTGTTTGGGAAATTAGGTTGTTGCATTCAGCAAGATAACCCAAGAACAGGGTTTGTGGGAAGGATGATTAGTTCCAGTTTGTGCTAATTGATATTAGTGTCTCAGAGGGACATTCATGAGGAGGTATTCTTTAGAGAGTTAGAAATAGGAATCTAGAATTTGAGAATTTCTTGTGTGAAGTAAGTTATTTTGGTGCTTATCAGCATTCAGGAAATGTATAAAACAGCAAACATGGAATCTTTGATTCAGGAGCATAAATAGAATGGTAGAAAATCTAGGATCCTGAAAAAAAAAACAGCACATAAAAGGGTAACAGAAGAATGGTAAGGAGTTGCTAGGCAGAGATAAAAAAAACAAGGAGAGTGATGTGGGAGAAACCAAGAGAGGAAAAGATCTTAAAGAAGAAACGTAGTACAAATACCACAAGATGGGATAATGAGAGAGGGCTGGGAAGTGTCTATCAGGTGACCTCTGCAAGAGCACTTGTTGCTGAGGTAGTGGAGGTGTGGAGGCCAGGGTTAGAGGTGGGGAGTGGATAGCAGGTGAGAAAGCGGATACAAAAGTTAGAAGTTATGCTTGTTTAGGAAACTTGACTGTGAGACACTGAATAGCTAGAGAAGTACTAGGGATTTTCTCTTCTGGTTAAAAATAAAAATGGGCGAGACAGATTTAAAGGCTATAAAAAGGGAGGTTGTAAGGTGGCCAGTAGGGATGAATGGCTTGCAGATGGCAGAGAGGAGGTAACTGAAGGTTAGGGTCAGCATTCTAGAGGTGAGGGTTAGCTTGTTTGCCAGGGAGGACAGCTTTGCCCCAGAAGCAGGAAGAGGTAAGAAAGACAAGCCTGTTGGCTGGGAGTGGAAAAGTGATAAACTAATGTAGGAGAACAGAAGCTTGAGGTGAGAGGTGAAAATCTGGAATAGCTGATTTCAGGACACATGTATCTGAGGCAGGGATGATAAAAGGATTACTTGATGGGTAACTTTAATATATCCTCTTTGTTTCTTCCAGGTCTGGGCTCTTCAGCTGAGCACTTAGTATTTGTACAAGATGAGGCAGAGGATTCAGGGAATGATTTCCTCTCCAGTGAGAGCACGGACAGTAGTATTCCATGGTTCCTCCGGGTGCAGGAATTGGCTCATGATAGTTTGATTGCTGCTACTCGTGCACAACTGGCAAAGAATGCAAAAACCAGCAGCAATGGTGAGACCCCTGTGGAGTTTTGTTCATTTCCGGTATTCTGTGTGCAGATTTTGATAATGCAATGGCTGTATTTCAAGTTGACTGTAATCCAGGTTATTTTATTGGTGAGGGCAGAAGGCTAGAAATGTGTAAATTGTCTTATTTTCTGTAAAATAATATAGCCATGCTAGATTCATATGCAAAATGTAGTTATGCTAGCATCCACAATTGCCAGCTTTACATAATGTACAGAGCCCCTTTGAAGGGAAAATATTTCCCAGATCTTGATGTTATCTTGAATTGTTTTTATTGTAATGTTCCCTATACTTAGAGATTTTATATGATTTGAAAATCAAAACAGTTTCACCAATTAATAGAAGTAAAGCTACAAAACCAATGAAAACAAAGAGTTAATAGTCAGTGTGGCAGCTAATGATATTTTGCTGAAACTGAATTGCTACTCATTGCATTGAGAAATTTTAGTAGCTATGGCTGCCTTTTTTGGCAGGGGGAACCAGTTCATCTTATGACTAATATCCAAACAGGCTGTAGTGCTATTTCTTTCTTTCTTTTTTTTTTTTTAATATCATTTATTGTTAAATTGGCTTCCATACAACGCCCATTGCTTGTAGTCCTATTTCTTTTGAGTTCAGCATGCCTGTATTACTTACTTTGTGCCACTTTTCTCTATCTAGTAATTTTCAAATGTTATCCTTGAACCATCAGCATCACCTGGAAACATAGAAATGCCAATTGGCAGCTCTCATCCTACTAAATTAGAAACATGCACTCTTTTAGTGAGCCCTCTCTGTGGTTCCAGCACATGTTAAAACTTGAGAACCAGGACTCTATTTAAAGCACTCTGGGGGCGCCTGGGTGGCTTAGTCGGTTAAGCGTCCGACTTTCGCTTAGGTCATGATCTCACGGTTCATGGGTTCGGGCCCCGCGTCGGGCTCTGTGCTGACTGCCAGCTCAGAGCCTGGAGCCTGTTTCAGTCTGTGACTCCCTCTCTCTCTGACCCTCCCCTGCTCACGCTGTCTCTCTCTCTCTCCTATTTATTAAATAGAAAACATTAAAAAAAATTTAAAGCACTCTGAAACGAGTCCACAACCTTTACTTATGCCACAATAGTTTTTGTTTTAGAGCTGCTTCTATATTTCTCTTTAATCTGTGACAATTAAGGTACTACAGCAAATTATTAAGGTACACACTATCATTATCACAAACCAAATTTAAGCCCTGAAATCTTATATTGGTAACTAGCTGTTGAGAATACATGCAGATGATCTAGAATATGCTTATGATTATTTTGTGATTAACATGCAAGTGAAAATTAAAAATTAAAAACTCTGGGGCGCCTGGGTGGCTCAGTCGGTGAAGTGTCCAACTTTGGCTTAGGTCACGATCTCATGGTTCTTGGGTTCGAGCCCCGTGTCGGGCTTTGTGCTGACAGCTAGCTCACAGCCTGGAGCCTGCTTCAGATTCTGTGTCTCCCTCTCTCACTGACCCTCCCCTCCTCATGCTGTCTCTCTCTCTCAGAAATAAAAATAAAACATAGGCAAAAAAATTAAAAACTTTCTCATTCAGGGGCACCTGGGTGGCTTAGTCATTTAAGCTCAGATCATGATCTCCCAGTTTGTGAGATAAAGCCCTGCGTCAGGCTCTGTGCTGACAGTGCGGAACCTCCTTGTGATTCTCTCCCTCTCTTCTCTGCCCCTCCCCTTTGCTTGTACGCGCACTCGCGCTCTCTCTCTCTCTCAAAATAAATAAATAAAAACTTAAAAAAAAAACTTTCTCGTACAGAACTGAAGGATTCCTGAGAATACTTCAGAATGTGCCAGTTTTAAAAACATTAACCTAGATCTTTCCTGTATAGAGAACTCCAAACTACTTTTTTAAAAAAAGTTTTTCTTTAAATTCCAGTTAGTTAATATAGAGTGTAATACTAATTTCAGGTGTACAGCATAGTGATTCAATATTTTCATACATCACCCAGTGGTCATCACAATAAGTGTACTCCTTAATCCCTATCAACTATTTCACCCATCACCCCACCCATCTCCCCTCTGGTTACCATCAGTTTGTTCTCTATAGTTAAGAATCTGTTTTTTTGGTTTGCCTTTCTCTCTTTTTACCCCCTTTGCTTTTTTGTTTTGTTTTCTAAAATTCAATCTGTGAGTGAAATCATACAGTATTTGCCCTTCTCTGACTTATTTCATTTAGCATAATACTCTTTAACTCCATCCATGTCATTGCAAAGAGAACTTCAAACTTCTGTTAGTTTCAAAATAATCAGTTCTGCTTTAACTACTGAAGTGCTGCTTAGCATGGTCCATTTTACTATTTTGGGGGCTCTAAAGTTCAGATTCTTACTGAGATGCTTTTCCTAATCTGTGGATCTCAAAACCTTCAGCATCTCTTTGCATTAAGGAAGTAGTGTTGTATGTGACATTAAGAAGCTGTGTGGGGAGGGAGCTTGGGATTTGGAATCTGGAGACCTGGAATCCAGACTTGGTGCTGTCATTAGGTAGTTCTCTGCCTGGGGAATTTAAACTCTTTACCTTCAGTTTTCTCTTGTTCAGAGCATAGAGATCAAGCAGCTTACCAGATTTGGTTGTTTTAGATATTTAAATAAGATTCTGTCTGGGAAATGCTTTTATAAAGCAAAGCATTCTGTGGATGTTTTCATTACTCTCAAAATATGTTACCTTACTACGTAAACAACTACCTCGTATGATAGAATATAAAGTCAGCCCAAATATATGACGATCCTCTATTTTGTCAATGAGATGATTCCATAAAACCTTTTTGGGGGGGCTAACTTAAATATCTAGACCTTTAGCCATGTAGATAAAATTAAACATTGTAAGTTTTGTTTTTTGAAAATTTTATTAATTAGTTGTTTATTTATATATTGTCAAGTTAGCTAACATACAGTATAGTCTTGGCTTCAGGAGTAGATTCCCATGATTCATCACTTACATATAATACCCAGTGCTCATCCCAACAATTGCTGTCCTCAATGCCCATCACCCATTTTCCCCAGCCCCCCAAACTCTACTCCTATCAACCCTCAGTTTGTTCTCTGTATTTAAGAGTCTTATGGTTTGCCTCCCTCTCTGTATCTTATGTTTCCTTCCCTTCCCCTATGGTCTTCTGTTAACTTTCTCACCTTGCACAAAGGAATGAAATCATATGGTATCTGTCTTTCTCTGACTTATTTCACTTAGCATGATACCTTCCAGTTCCATCCATGTTGTTGCAAATGGCAAGATTTCATTCTTTTTCATTGTTGAGTAGTATTCCATTGAATATATAAACCACATCTTTATCCATTCATCAATCGACGGACATTTGGGCTCTTTCCATAATTTGGCTAGGGCTGAGAGTGCTGCTATAAACAGTGGGGTACATGTGCCCCTATGAATCAGCACTCCTGTATCCTTTGGACAAATTCCTAGTAGTGTTATAGCTGGGTTGAAGGGTAATTCTATTTTTAATTTTTTGAGGAACTGCCATACTGTTTTCCAGAGTGGCTGCACTAGTTTACATTCCCACCAACAGTGCAGGAGGGCTCCCATTGTCCACATCCTTGCCAACATCTGTTATTTCCTAACTTGTTAATTTTAGCCACTCTGACCAGTGTGAGGTGATATCTTAATGTGCTTTTGATTTGTATTTCCCTGATGATGAGCAATGTTGAGTATCTTTTTATGTGTGTTTGCCATCTGGATGTCTTCTTTGGAAGAGTGTCTATTCATGTCTTCTGCCCATTTCTTCACTGGATTATTTGTTTTTCAGGTGTTGATTTTGGTAAATTCTTCATAAATTTTTGAAGCTAACCCTTTATCCAATATGTCATTTGCAAATATCTTCTCCCATTTTGTAGGTTGCATTTTAGTTTTGTTGATTATTTCCTTTGCTGTGCAGAAGCTTTTTATCACGATGAGGTTCCAGTAGTTCATTTTTGCTTTTATTTCCCTTGCCTTCAGAGACATGTCAGGTAAGAAGTTGCTGTGGCCAAGGTCAGAGTTTGCTGCCTGTTTTCTCCTATAGGATTTTGATGGTTTCCTGTTTCACATTTAGGTCTTTCATCCATTTTTTATTTTTTTTGTGTGTGTATGTGTGTGGTGTAAGAGAATAGTCTAGTTTCATTCTTCTGCATGTTGCTGTCCAGTTCTCCCAGCACTATTTGCTAAAAAGACTGTCTTTTTTCCATTGGATACTCTTTCCTGCTTTGTCAAAGATTAGTTGGCCATACATTTGTAGGTCCAATTCTGGGCTCTCTATTCTATTTCATTTGTCTGTGTGTCTGTTTTTGTGCCAATACCATACTGTCTTGATGATTAACAGCTTTGTAATACAGGCTAAAGTCTAGTATTGTGATGTCTCCAGCTTTGATTTTCTTTTTTAACATTACTTTGGCTATTTGGGGTCTTTTCTGATTCCATAAAAACTTTAGGATTGTTTGTTCTAGCTCTGTGAAGAATGCTGTGCTATTTTGATTGGGATTACATTAAATGTGTAGATTGCTTTGGGTAGTATCGACATTTTAACAACATTTGTTCTTCCAATCCATGAGCGTGGGTTGTCTTTCCATTTCTTTGTGTCATCTTCAATTTCTTTCATAAGCTTTCTATAGTTTTCAGCATACAGATATTTTACCTCTTTGGTTAGGTTTATTCCTAGGTATTTTATGGTTCTTGATGCAGTTGTAAACGGGATCTATTCCTCTTTCTGTTGTTTCATTATTGGTGTATAAAAATGCAACTTATTTCCGTACATTGATTTTGTATCCTGCGACTTTGCTGATTTCATTCATCAGTTCTAGCAGTTTTTTGGTGGGGTCTTTCAGGTTTTCCCTGTAAAGTATCATGTCATATGCAAAAAGTGAAAGTTTGACTTCTTCTTTGACAATTGGATGCCTTTTATTTCATTTTGTTGTCTGATTGCTGAGGCTAGGACTTCAACACTACATTAAACAACAGTGGTGAGAGTGGGCATCCCTGTTGTGTTCCTGA